ATAAGATGAAAAGACAACGACTATCAGACATTTGAAGAAGAGATTTGTGTATAGATCTAGTATAAGATGAAAAGACAACGACTATCAGACATTTGAAGAAGAGATTTGTGTATAGATCTAGTATAAGATGAAAAGACAACGACTATCAGACATTTGAAGAAGAGATTTGTGTAAATGTGTGGAAAAGAAGGAAAGACAACACCTATCGCAATACTTGAAGGAAGAGTGGGGCAACAATGTGATCACAAAAATTACTGCAAGAACAATCTCTTCCTGCGGAGACCACAGCGACATTCAAGGAGCGAGAGAGAGAGAGAGAGAGAGAGAGAGAGAGAGAGAGAGAGAGAGAGAGAGAAAGAGAGAGAGAGAGAGAGACAGAGAGAGACAGACAGACAGACAGACAGACAGACAGACAGACAGACAGACAGACAGACAGACAGAGAGACAGAGAGAGAGAACAAGCTCCATATTGTCTACATCTGACAAACACACTCATTCGTAGACTCTGGTTAAAGATACACCGTATATTGTATATTCAATACTGCAACCTGCTAAGAAAGAGACACCCCCCCCCCCCGAAAAATAAATACATAATAAAATTTTAAATAAATAAATAAATAAATAAATAAATAAATAAATAAATCTAATTAAATAAATAAAATAAAAAATAAAAAAATAAAAAAACTAAAAAAAACTAAAATAAAATGATTTTAAAAAATAAAGATAAGAAGAAAAGAAAAGAAAAACCCAAAAATAACAAGAATAGATAGATAGATAGATAGATAGATAGATAGATAGATAGATAGATAGATAGATAGATAGATAGATAGATAGATAGAGAGATAGATAGATAGATAGATAGATAGATAGATAGATAGATAGATAGATAGATAGATACAGGACTTTAAATAAGAACAGTGGTTCTTCTTCTCTATCAATCATTAGTATGAACTAGCTGGGCCCCCTTTCGATGAAAGGGATGATCGGTGCTTTAATATAAGCTAAAAGTCATTGGCCTTCTATATTTACACTCTACTGGAATGGGGAAATAAATATTGAGAGATGCAAAAAATTAGGTCTAGATCTATACTCTCAAAACAAATATCACTTCCGGATTTTCTAAAATTACAGAGACAGAAGCGTCGGCCTACAAAAGCGATCGGCGAAATAAAGAAATTTAGCTTTTTGCAGCAAGACTGTCTCAAAACTGAAAAAAAAACCAAGGGCGCCATGATCTGGAGAATATTTTAAACAATTTTTTGGCGAAAACCGCATGTCGATCGATGCAGCCATTAAAAAGCCTTTTGAATAGCAACATTTGGCCACCACAAATAGATAATAGATGAGAACGAGCAGACAGGATTAACGACGCCGTATGATTCCATGAACCGCACGATGTTATTCTCCATACTTGGTATCGCGAACGACACGAATCTCTCCATCTTTGAAGATTCCCAGTCGTCTGTGCCGGGCACCGGAAATGGAAGCTCCGCCATTGCTCTCGCGGATGACGTAGAAGCTGAAGGGAAGTCACTGAATGAGCCACTGTGGCGGACTTTGTTGGTGAGCGACGACACGAGAGCTTTTTTTGAGCTGCTGAACTACGTCATCATCGTTGACGTGGTGTGCACGTTTGGTGTACTCAGCAACATCCTCAACATTGTGGTCTTTGTCAAACTCGGGCTGAAGGACACCGTCAATATTGCCTTTTCAGGTAATGTCCATTTTGTTGTTTTTTTTAGTATAGGGTTTTACGGTGGTCGCAACTGCATAAGGTCATATGAGCGCGAGGGACACACCTAATGCTTTTTCGTTGGTAGGAAATTTTGAATTTTGCCCGGGTGGCGGCCGAAGCCTGCTCTTATCGATTTTAGACCACCAAGGGATCTTTAACGTGCGCAACTTGCACACTGGCCCTCCGAGATTTTTCGCCCTTGTCCGAGAAGGCTAGGTGTAGATCTTTCCTACCAGAAGATCAGGGGTGTGGCAGAAAGACAGCAGTTAGGAGGAGCCAAGGAGTGTCTGTGGTGTAGAAAGGCTGCAGAAAGAGTCAGGAGCCCAGAGGAGGGGGCAAAGGAGGTGATGGGGTGGGGGCAGAAAGTGGAAATGAAAGCAGACAACAGAACATTGTTAGAGATCAGGATAGGATGTGAAAGGAGACAATTTTAGAGAAGAACATTTTTTGGTCACTACCCGGAATCGAACCCGGCACCTTTGAATGAGAGGCCAACACCTTAACCTCTAGGCCACGAGAGCCCCCAATGTCCTTTTTTGTTGGTAATGTTAGTCCCTTCTTTGAATTTTCATCTCATTTGGGTAATGTGTTTTGATAAAATAAATGTCTTCGTTCTGTGTTTGTGGGATAAATCGAAAAAATGAGATGGTTTAGATTTTTTTTCACGTTTTAATTTGAGAAAGTTGGGTGAGGAGGGAGGGGGGTTAGTGAGAAAGAATGCGCATAAATAAATAAATGAATAGCAAGTAGCTATTCTCCAGCGTCGCGCCGGTCAATAGATCAGAAGCTATATTCTCCGGCGTCGCGCCGCCGGTCTATTACTAATTACTAAGAATTTGTCGGCGCAGATTTGCAAATACCTCTCTCATCTGTGTGTCTTGGAAAGAAATTCCCACAACTTTACCACTTCGTGCCACTTCGTGCCACTTCCATTGATACAGACGATAGGTTTCCAGACACAAACTGCCCCAATTCCTCAATTTAGAATTATGTTGGGTACTAGAAGAAACGACAAGAAAGCACTGAAGTCGCGACATATCATCAGTTAAATTGATCGAAAATTACAACAACAAGAAATAAGTGAAACAGCAAGCTATACCATATATGGCTGGACAGGATTTTAGACACAAGATCAATTTTGTTCGTTTAAATAAACAGAATCATTATTTTAAAATAAGCAAATGGACGCTGGAAATAAATGAATAAAGTTATGTTAGACCATTACCATAGATAAAATATAATGAAAGGTAGACTTACTGGGCCTAGTTATGACGCCGGAGAATAGCCACTTGCAAATGAATAATCTAAAAATACATAGACTTAAATAAATTTAAAAAACCATACATATAAATTATGATTTAAAAGATCAAATAAATAAATAACAAAAAGAAATTAAAAATAAGAATACAATTTGAACAACCCCCCCTCCCCACGTCCTCTCTCTCCCCCCCCCCCCCCCCCCCACAAAAAAAAACCAAAAACCCCCCAGGGTCCCCAAAAACCGACCTGGGCTCGGTCCTGAGCCTGCTATGGGCCAGCGTCTGCCGCAACCCGCTGCTACTGGCCTGGGAGGGCGGGAAAGCGCGCCAACTGGACTACCTGGGCGTGCAGTACCTGACCGCCAGCTGGCCACAGGGAGTCTTTTTCCGGGTCATTCAGTTTATCACAGGGTTTTTGGGCGGGGAGAAAGGGCTGGGGGTGGCCTTTTCCCCGCAGGCTTCCCGCGCAGGGGAGTGTTTCCAACCGGAGGCCCGTCCCGTCGGACACACCATTTTTTGGGGGGGAGAAAGGAGTGTCTTTTGTTCCCTTTACCCCCATCCAGTGAGAGATGAGTCTATGGGGGGGGGGGGGGGGGGTCATCAGTCTGATCACAGCATTTGTGGCAGTGGAGAGGTGTCTATGTGTGGTCTTTCCGCTACAGGTGAGATGTCTGTCTGTCTGTCTGTCTGTCTGTCTGTCTGTCTGATCACAGCCTTTGTGGCAGTGGAGAGGTGTCTGTGTGTGTGGTCTTTCCGTTACAGGTGAGTTGTGTGTGTGTGTGTGTGTGTGTGTGTGTGTGTGTGTGTGTGTGTGTGTGTGCGTGCGCCCGCGTATTTGTATCACAATTATACTGTATGTTCCTTTCGCACGCCAAAGAATACGTTTTGTCTTTCTCTCCACTCAGGTCAAAAGTCTGGTGACCCCCAGGAGAACAAAGCTGGCGGTCCTGACCATCTACGTGACCATGTTGTCTGCCGTTATTCCCGCCTTCTGCTCCATGCACTTCCGGCAGACGGTCGACCTTGAAACAAACACGACTCTCCTCCGACTTGTCTATATCACGCCAGACGGGCAGGCGTTGGAAGGCATCTCGTTCGCCATCAACAATTTCTGCTTGCTGACGTCATTTCTTATCGTGGTCACGTGCACAGCGATTTTAGTCCGGAAGTTGACCGTGAAAACAAAATGGCGCATGCAGACGGCTTCCGGTGACGTCGACAAAAAGGAAGCCATAGCGCGAAAGGACGAAAAGGTGGTGAAGATGGTGGTGATCATCTGCGTCGTTTTCGTCGTCTGCTACAGCCTGAGCTCAGTCAATATGGCACTCATGTTGTTTCTCCCCGACTATAGCGTCGTCGGGCCTTACAGAAATATCTTCCAGGTCGTCTGGTCTTTCATCGACACGCTAGAGGGCGTCAATTCCAGCGTGAACATTTTCGTCTATTTCAAGATGAGTTCAAAGTTCAGGAGGATGTTTAAGAACACTTTCTGTTGCAGAACAGAGTTGAAATGAACAGGCTGGAGGTTCGTTTGTTTTTGTTTTGTTTTTTGTTTTTTTGACCATGTGAAAGTTTAGATCTATCCCTAACTGCGCACATTGTTTCTCTATCTGACCTCCCCTTGACCATTAGATATCTTAGTTTTAGCTTTAGTAAGAGTTAAACGACACTTGTAACACAAAAAGGTCAAATAAATGACGAAGGTTTAAAGAGGTGTTACTAAAAAGTCAAATTCATAGAAAAGAAGGATTTTCTTTTTACTTTTAGTAAGACTTTTACGGCACTTGCAACACAATACGGTCATACTATTATAAGCGCCAGAAGATTAGAGGTGTTACAAGAGAGTAACAAACACATTATTTAAAAAAGGAGGAGATATATGGACGAAAGATGATTTTTTAAGCTTTAGTAGAGGTTTTACCGCGCTCGCAACAGCATAAGGTCATATGAGCGCCAGAAGATTAGAGGTGTTACAAGAGAGCAACAAATATAAAAAAAGAAGAAGGGGAGATAAGGACGATAGATGTTTGATAGGAAAGAAGAAGAAGCAAACCACACCAGAGCACCCGTCAACCACCCACGATAGATGTTTGAAAGGAAATAAGGAGCAAACCACATCAGAGCACCCGCCAACCACCCACAAGCACGAAAAAAATGAACAAAATCAAACAAACAAATTGTCCAATATAAGTCTGATAAATGATATAATAATAAGATACCAGAACAAGCTTTATTTCTCTGGCAGGAAGCATAAATCATAAATCTGGGTAAATATGAACAGACCACAGACCACAGCCATATATTGTTGTCTTCAGTTGGGACTATCAAAGTTCTCTTACA